AAGTGAGATAAGTGGAAAAAAATTCAAGCACGGTCAAAAATTAGGTGCTCACAGCATACCCCTCTTATAGAGATGCGAACTGGCAAAGGTTGCTTTTATCCTAGACCTTCACGTGGTTGCCTCATAGAAGCTTCTGACGGGAGCTTCCCTAATTTTGACAGCTCATTGGAATTATATCCAACTTTTGCAAATAGCCTGTAAGCATTAGGATCAAAGCCTTCATCTGTACGCTTTGTAGGGAGTGCCACATTCTACGAATGATTTTGGGCCACAAACCCTGCAAGTAGCATTGATGGAACCATTATTGACTCAATTCGTTTGATCGGAAAAGTTAACTCCCTTAGCATATTGGTCTGGAGTTTGGCTGATTCTCCCTCTTCTTTCTTCTTTTTAGGGACATAGCAGAGCATAAGAGTTACTTTCTTGCCATAAGACAATGTGTTCCCTCCATGATATTTATTTGAGTTAGGGTATACCTCCTCAATAACAGCCTTGGTTTTGTCGGCAACCACCTCATCTCTCTTAGTCGTGGATTCGTCATTCTTGCCATTCGTGACATCATCAGGTTTTAGCTCCTTCACAATGCAGTTCTTCAAGTAGAACTTTGCATCGGCAAAGTATGACTCGGCCTTGGTGAATGGCTCGTTATCAGCAACTATCTTCTTCTCGACTTCACCCTCGTAGTACTTTAAACATTGATGGTATATAGATGGAACCACTTTATTCTCATGTATCCAAGTCCTTCCAAGCAAGACGTTGTATGAAGTCTTTGCATTGATCACATGCATCCATGCACTTGATTGCATATCTTCAATGGTGATCCCCAACTTGATTGCGCCTATGGCTCTTTGCCCACTTGGTTGAATCCTTGAATCATCATAGGACTTTTCGAGAGTTCGTTCATGGGAATGCCAAGTTCTTTCATAGTGCGAATTGGCAAGATATTCACTGAGGATCCTCCATCAACCAAAATTTGATTTACTCTTTCATCGCGCATATAGCCAACCAGGTACAACGGGCGGTTATGAGGAGTGTTACCTAGTAGAAGATCGTTATTTGTGAACGTAACTTTTTCCTCGCAAGCATTAACTTCTTGAGGAATAGACTCGATTATCTCTTCCGAAGATGGTGCCAACATCAGGCCATTATGAGAAATCTTCGTGCGAAACCAACTTGGTAAGAACTCCTCCAAGGTCACTGGATGTCGTGGATTTATAGGGTGGTGCACTTCCACTTTTGCCTTCTTCAAATGCTTAAATAGATTTCGTTTCTTTGGTCTTTTTACCATCATCTTCCTTGTTGGTTATTTTATTCATTCTTTACATGGGCTCCTTTTGTGGCACCTACGGCGAGTCACCAACGTCCAACCTTCATCATCATCAGGTTGATCAACTTCAACTTTGTTGTTCTCCAGTAATTCTTCATCTTTACTTTCTTTAAAACTACATAATCCATTTGGACTAAATGAGCCAAAGGTGATAGAGACTTAGTTTGCGCTTGCTTTCTCATCTTCAAGAACAATCTTCTTTTCACGAGAAAAGTCCATAACTTTGTCCTTGAAGACAAAGCACTTCTCCAGAGGGTGGCTCACAAGTCGATGGTATTTGCAGTAATTTGGGTCATTCATTTTCTTAGCTTCATTTGGCCATTTCATCTCCGGAAGCTCAATGAGATTTAACTCGAGGAGTTCTTCACAAATTGCTGGCACATCAAAATCTAGAAATGGATACTCCTTCTCTTGAATTTTTTTTAGAGTCTACTTTTCACTTTTCTTTTCTTGAAATGAAGTGGACTTCATACTCTGCTTCTTGTTCATCTTCGTCGTGAACTTCACAAGTGATGTGTTGACATTCATAGCTTCTTTGTTTTTAGACTTGGGTACGAACTTGCTCCATTTCCTGACTTCTTGCTTGTCATTGACTTTGCGAGGTTCATAGATAGGCAGTCTTTCATTTCCAGTGGAGGCCATGCTCAATTCCATGTCATGAGCATGAGTTGCAAGTTCTTTAAATGTGCTAGGCTTGATACCTTGCAAGATGTAGCGCAGTCCCCAATGCATGCCTTGGATGCACATCTCTATGCCAGAAGCTTCACTAAGCCAGCCTTTGCAGTTGAGGCTTGCATTCCTCCAACAATTGATAAAGTCAATAACTGGTTCACCCTTTCATTGACGAGTATTTGTAAGTTTTATCATACTCACAGTACGTCTCGTGCTATAAAAGCGATTGAGGAACTCTTGCTCTAGTTGATCCCAGCTATCAATGGATCCAGCCTCGAGATATGTGTACCAATCAAAGGCATTTCCTTTTAGTGAGGGGACAAACTGCTTGACGAGGTAATCTCCATAAGTCCCAGTATTTTTGCACGTCTCAACGAAGTGCGCCACACGTTGCTTTGGATTGCCTTTGCCATCAAACGGTTGAAATTTTGGAGGTTGATAGCCAGGAGGCATTTTCAACATATCGATCCTTGAAGTATACGGCTTTGCATAGGTAAAGGAGGACTTGGAAGCAACTTCATATTTATTTTTATAGTCCCTTCAATGAACTCTTTTAGTTGATTGATTGGAATCATCCCTTCCAAAGAAACTGAAATTTCCTTAGTGGATGCAACTTGTCGTGGGGGAGGATCAATCTCTTGAACTTCTGGGAGCTTGCCAAGTGCATGGGTGGATTCTTCTTCCATCAAGATTCCCACCATGTCTGCTAGATTATCAATTCTAGTATCTTGATTTTGCATGCACTTGGTCAAGCTAGCGATTTCTTGAGTCAAGTTTGCCAACTGCTCATCCACAGACGAAACGTTTGTCACTATGGCTTGCATGATTGTTGTGGACGATGGAGAATAGCATGGATTGTCACACATATTGATCCTCGATTGACTCACGTTATGCGGTGTAAGTGGGAAAAATCTATCACTTGAAATATCGTCATCTTCCTCCACAACAGAGTTCTTGGATCCGAAGAGGTCAAGCAGAGCTAGAGTTTTCTTGATCTTTTCAGCAATATCGCTTCCTCCTTCGGGTTCATTTGTAGAGGATCTTGCTCCTTTTGAGGATGAAGATCCGAAAATAGGTGTTGATACGAACAACACTTGGAGTGCTTGTTTTCCTAAAGAGCTTGCTTTGCTCTCGTAATTGGTCCAAAACTTCCAAAGGTAACATCAAGGATGCTTTTCACATCAGCATAGAACCTGGAGTTAGCAGCCTTGGTGAATGTTGATCTGGAGCTGATTTTCTTTAAAGTCATTTCGGTGTTTTTGAACTTTGATGATTTAAAAGTTGAGATGAGAGGTAGAGATGGTGCCACCGGGTGTGCCAGAATTTGTAGACAACAAAATTGCGTAAAGAAAATAAAATCAAGACCGAAAGATATTGCAACAATCGTAGTATTGGATTTCAAGTAATATGCGTGTTACAATCTCGATGATTCCTGTGATTCTTCTTTTCTAATATAAATAAATTCAAGGGTCTTTGAGCTTGATCTTGAATCTATATTTGTTTTCACGAGCGGTGATCTTGAATTCAACTAGCACGAAATTTGAATCTTGATTTGTTCTTCGTTCTTTAGCTTGATCTTGATTTCTTGAACTTGAAGCTTGAAACTTGCAGAGAAATTTGTGGCGTTTGATCCACGAGCTCTCTTTTGCTTCTTGTTATAACTTCTGGTGTCTTTTCTGAGTTATGAAAACCCCTATTTATAGTTATGGGATGGAAGAGTTATGGTGAGAACAAACTCTTTCCGACTAATCAGATTGAAGAGTGACAACGTCGTATTTGAATGTGCGCAAATACTGACACCATGATTGTCAAAAAAAATCGTTTACTACATTGTGTGAAACTATTTGGATTATAGAAAGTGAGGTGTACCTTGCGGAGCGAATCAGCAAGTAAGGTTCGATCCGTAGAGCTAAGATCAATCATCGGAAGTTGCAGAGCTCCCTCCATTTTTTTTGTTTTGGAAAAATCACGAAAACAAATTCGTACAAAACCTGAAGCAGTGCCCTTAAGACTAGTACTATCAAATTTATAGTGACTAGTCTACAAGTATATGATTCACTTATGCTACTAAGGTTCGTTTGGTTGGATGCATTAGATAAAATAATATGTGCATTACCTTTGTATATTAATAATGCCTTGTTTGGTATATATTTTAAACATATACATTAGTTATGCAAGCATTAGTTATACACTCTATTTGGTATTATCCTATGCATAACTAATGCATAGAAAATCATGATATTAATAATGCAATGGGTTTTAATGCATGCATTAGCTTAGTTATAGACAAAATTGTCCTTCTTAATTTATGCTTAGTTAAAATATGCTATTATATTAATGCAAGTTTGAAATAATCCAAATAGTGAGAAATAAAATTATATCCCTAGTAAATAAATAAATACTTAGCATTTTTTTTTATAAATAAATATTCAGTTCTATACTACAATATAGGTAGACAAATCAAATAATTTTTTTAAAAAGAAATCATATAAAAACATTCCTCGAGATAAATGATGGACTCGTTTTGAGGGCATTTTTGTAAACAAATAATTCTTTTAGAAATTGTGCAATGCTTTAATACATCAAACCAAACAATGGATAAGAAATATGCCAACATAACTAATGTCAGCATAACTAATGCAAGCATAACTAATACACCATATTCAGCATTATTCTTATGTACCCTACCAAACGACCCCTAAGCTCCATCGATGTGCGCTTTTGCATATCAGGTTCTTATACCGAATAAAAATAAAGGTTTATTAGATCGAAAGCTAGCATAATAATAAGTTATGATGAAATTTTGCTCAATTGATAACTAATTTAGAATGGAAACAAGTTGATCTATTGACAGATACATTTTAATCTCTGATGTAGAAACGTTTTTCAGTTCCGAGTCCATTAACCCACTTTACTCCGGAAAACAAAAGTGAAACAAAAAATGGTTTCGCCTGATCTAGACTTCAATTCTCGAGATTTAAAATGGACTTAAAGAGTTCAATTAGTGCTCTAAAGTCAGATATCAACTGCATATGGGTGGCAAAAGGCCTAACTGCTCGACAACAAAATGGAAACAAAAAGCCGAAGGTAAGCCTATTACAGAATATCAAGGTCAGTTTACGCATCTATCTACATGCTTTTCAAAGAATTTCCGTAATATGGGCACTTCAAAAGGAAACAATAAATATGTTACAGCCAAGCCTCAAATCGCTAATCTCACATACAAAAATTGTTAACCCAGGCATTGGCTGTTCTTTGAAAGTATGTGCTGCATCCAAATGAAAACCAGAGCAAGGGTCGAAAGAGGAAACGTCGAGGGGCCGAGCTTCAAAAATCAGTTCCGACCCAAGTTTACCATTGCCAAGAGGAGAAATTCAAGCAGCAACCTGTTAACAAATACTTCAATGCCTCTCAACTCTGGTCTCCAACGAAAAGCCACATCCAGCAAAAGGGATACATATGTTGTCACATTCTCAGACTCTACAACAACAAGGTCTATCTTCTCCTCGCAATCCTGCTTCTTCTGACTCCCCTTGAGATGCGTGCAGGAGAGGCGACTCCAGCGAGTCCATCTGGTGATAAATAATCCTCGTCTTCACTGGTGTCATCGGACCTCCACCTTGGTCCACCATTAGTTTCTAGACGCACTGTGGGAGAACCTTCTTCTTCATGACTTTTAAATTGACAATCAGCGAAATAACAAAATTAGATTAAAGCTAAGATTGGTGATCAAACCTAAGACAACAAAATGTGCTGATAGAAATTAAAGGGCTTTACAAAAATTAAGGTTTACCTCCAAGTTATATCTATCGAATCATTTAATGGTAACATCCGAGGTCTATCAGCAGCATCTGAGAGTAGACGTTTACCAGGATAATTCATGTATGAATCTTCAACTGAATCTTTTAATATGCCTCTGTTGCTGGTAAGAGAATTTACATGGTTGCCAGAAATCTGGTGAAAAATATAAGATTCCTTCTGAAACCCATTCTGAGACTTCTCTGGTGAAACTCTATATGTTTGAGAATTGCGAAGGCGGCTAATAGAAGAGTCCCTTAATGAATTCCTGGAGATCTTCATCTCAGGAGCAGGAGGATCAATACAACGACTTGCAGGGGTCGCAATCTCATCAAATCTCAATTTTTTGCCTAGGATACTTTCAGGATTAGCTGGGGAACTGGGAGAACCATAATGCCCAACTTTATAGCTAGATAGATTTAATGATCCCCCAAGTGCAGGCGGAGCATCAAGAACAGAATGTTTAACAATATCAACTCGCTGAACGAGGGTAGGATCAGTGGGAGGATTAGCCAATAAACTGGTCAAGATAGGTTCTTGAGCTTCACCATTGGGCTTCAAAGAAATGTCAACTGTGTCCTTACAAGTAACAACTTCAGGCAACTTCCCTGTCCTCACTTGTTGTTGTAAGATATTTGGTAACAACTCTACTCCCTTGTCCTAAAACATAGAAAAAAATTCAAAATATTACAACACATGCATTTCTACACATTAAAATAAATAAGACTATGACAATTGTTTAAGTAAGTCACTGTCATCATAAAAGCTGAAAAGTGATCAAAGAGAAAAACAGGAAAGGAAGATGAGAAGTCAGCTCGTTATTATATCAAAGCAATACAATGACCTTAAGTAGTAAAGGACTCAGTGATCAGAGACCTACACTGCTATGCGTCACAATTCAACTAGTTAATCCCTATCTTTTTTGCAGTTTCCCTTTCTTACCATAACTTCAACTTCTCTTGTCATGCTTTTCGTAGATTACCTCTTAGTGGTTTGTTGAGAAAGACGGGTAGGAAAGACTGGAAGTACCATATCAAAACCACCATTGCAACCTTGATATGATCTCATGCTCAGTCAAACTAGGTAACATAAAATAAAAAGGGGATACTGCTTGTATCTTCTGGTAACCATACATACTGGTCCTGGCTGCCAGCGAGATACAATCAGTAAAGGAACAATTAAGATTTAGGACATGGAAACAAATGATTTTCGTATAACAATCCAGATAATCTGTTTGAATGACAACAAGATCATTGTGTTTAGGCACACGTGTGTTCCTAACCAGAGTAGGATCTGGGTAAAAAACATTTTAAAAAAAGGTTCATGATTCACAGAGCAAACACGTACTATTCACTCTAACAAATTCCAATTCAAACACCAAAACTTGAAACTAGTAAATATTCAAACCCTATATTTGCAAAGAGAACAACAAATCAAAAAGATCAAGTTCACTTACAACCAAACAAGTTCTCCAATGATTTGTTGATTTTATCCTGTCTAAGACTTCTTCTGTGGCGGAATTTTGAGAAATGTAGTTTTCCTCCATGTCCTGAAGCTTCTGATCAATTTGGTATGCTTCAACATATCTTTGACGCTGTACGAAAAGACAGTACTACAATCGTTAGGAACCATATGAAATCTCCATCCAGATGGACAGATTACAGACAAAAGAGTACCAAAACTAATCCTGAAATCAACTCCTGCCAGTGATTATATACATATAACACAAACATTCCTTGCTTCTTTTTTTTTGAATAAAGATGGTGTCTGAAACAGCTAGTGTGCAGCTCGACTATTCCACTTGGCACCTGCTACCTCCCACCATCAGAGGTACCGGTTAATACACATACGCATAGATATGTGTCACAGGCTCAAGTAGAAGTTATCTTCTGTATGGTAAACTATATGATTTTCATCATTAATGGTTTCACATGCGTTATCATCAGTAATATAATTCAATAACTCAATTTTGCTGACCAACAAGATAATCACATTCCATTTTTCTTAATTGTTCATGTCTTCATAAAAATCCTATTCTATTTGTGATGATACTAACTCAAAACTTCAAAGAGAAATGCCTGACCAAAGTGACCAGGTTAATAGGTGGAGCTTCATTCCATAAATTTAACACTTGAAGTGAGTCACAAATTTTTTTATTTTTTTGATAAGGGAAGTGAGTCACAAATTAGACACAGGAAAAACTTAGGAATCCATCCAACATCAAGCTCGTTATTGCTTCATTGCTTGAAATACACAGTCACATACACAGGGTGAAAGAGAATGCAGTTGTAGACAACGAAGTAGTAGCATTTTTAGCAAATATGTTGTATTAAGAGCATGTTTGGCCAAGCTGCCTTATTTTGAAAAGTGCTTTTCAAGTACTTTTGGAAAAAAGTAGTTTGTGTTTGACTAATTCATTTGAGAAATGTTTTTTGCAATATTTGATGAGCAAATTTTGTTTGGCCATCATCAACATACCCAGTGTGATCCCACAAGTGGGGTCTAGGGAGGGTGGAATGTACGCAAAACAATCTTTCCAAAAAAAACTTGTGTTAAAAAAAAAAAAAAAAGAGTAAAAGTAAAGGTATAATTTACAACTAGTATTATTTAAAAGAGAATTGAATTTATAAACCATAAAGTAAAAATATATACATCAAAGATTTAATACATAAAATATAGTTATCCAAAGAAATAATATTGGGTATATGATATTACTTATTGTTTACATGGTTGATTCAAATATATCAATATACCTCATTCAGTATAAATTAAAAATCTACTCCATAAATCTTATTATAAAAGAAGAGATCGTTTTATAGTAAAGAGACTATTCCAAAGAAGAATAGGAGAAGGAGAATAAAAAACAATGAAGAAAGCGATGGCAGAAACAAAAATTAAAAAGGATAAATTAACGAGGGTTAATTTGGGGAATGAAAATTTATGGTAAGGATATTTCTGTCTTGAAAAGTTGATTTTCTACTTGCTTTTGCTTTTTAGAAGAAGCTAGAACTTGTAGCTTCTTCCCAAAAAAAAAAAGAAAAACGGCTTCTGCTACTGCTCAAATGCACTTTTGAATCTTGGCCAAACACTTCAAATTTAGAAAGAAAAAAAAAAGTGCTTTCGGCCTCCTAAAAGCTTGGCCAAACAGGCTCTAAGTTGCCTGTTTGAGGTACTAGTTGATGAAAAATAATCGGAGTGAATATAGCAAAATAGTACATCTTAACGCTTAAGGTCAAGGACTTATCTCTATAATAGTATAATAAACATGTTTAGTGCAAAATGACTATCATAACTTGTACCAAAGAGTTTGTTGTAGTTGTCAGAATGTCCCCTTGACATGCACTTATTCTTTTCTTCGATATCTAATACTCTATATACCATCCAGAGGTCCATCACTGATAGTGCTAAATCAGTATAATTAGGCAAGTGCAAGTAGGGAGGAAAACGATCCAATACTTCTCTGGTATGGCATCCAAAATAGTTCAGAGAATCACAACTACGCTTAATGTCCCCCTCCTTCATGTTTTAATATTTTGGTTATTAATCTACATGGTAGGGGTCGATGCCAAACCCCCCGCCACTACAAGGTGGCTTTAATAAATAAATAAATAAGTTAAGTGCAAGTAGATATGGGTGAAAAGTCAACCAATCCAAAATCATCTACATTTCGCAATGTTTCTAACTGACACTCATCTGGATGGAAAAGTTAAGACTGCCTATTTCGATGGATCTTACCCAGCTTTAAAAAAACTTTCAGAAGGAAACAACATTCAAAGTCAATCCTCCAGTTACTGCCAGTACATTGCCATGAAAAATCAAGTGCAATCTGACAAAAGTCTAGTCACTAGTGGCCAACACCAAAAGGATTATTGCATAATACTCGTTTAATTTTCTTACAGGTAGTAACTAGTAAATGAGTTCGAGCGAAAGAGAAAAACATGTATGTGAGTAAATGAGCTGCCAAAATAAAAGAAATGAGTGCAACAGCAAGCTGGCAAAACTGCAGAATAGAACATGAAACCTGGATATAGAAAGAAATACCTGTAAATAGAAAACAACGAGAAGACTTCCTATGGCCGTTGAAGGATCCTCCGCAGTAAAATCCAGCAGGTATTTATGAAGATGTTTCTCCTCATCAGCATTCCATGGCAGTTCTATCATGTGGTCAACCAAGTTTCTCCTAATGCAAAGACAACAAATTTCAGTGACAAGAGTCTCCATCCAGAGACCCCACGACCAGCATTGATCCTCTACTTCAACAGAAGCACTCTGAAATTCTTCACCCCTCAACTTCTTTTCCTTGATCCTAGCACAGACCAGCCTCTGATACGTGAATGCTTCAGTCAAAAGTCCACACTCTACCCGCACACGAACACCAGTCACAGCCGCCCGAAGTGAAACTAGCTGTGTCCCGTCTTGTCCAGACCACCTCAGAACCATGAGAGCTGCATCAGGGTTTTCCCGCTCCAAGAGTACCTGAGCAACCTTCGGGTGTATTGTTGGACTTGATATTTCTGGGAGAAGTTGACAGGCTTCCTGGGATACAAGTAACTGATATTCAGCACACGCACCAGTCCAAAGACCATATAATGGCTTAAGAAGGCTCACAATGATGATTTCTTTATTTGGAAAAGGACAAATTGAAGAGACAATAACCAAATCTACTCAGGTTGTGGAAATGACAAAAGGTAAAACAGTTCATAAGATGCCCAAGAAAAAAACATAAACCGGAATCGCGTTTATCACATAAACTCTGGCCGCAGAGGAACAAAATGTGTCAAAACCCTACAAGTCAAAACGCTTACATCCTGTAAACACTCTAGCTGCTAGCCAAGTCTGATAATGGAATGTTGCAATGTGCACCTGAAGCACAAAGTGAATATCCCTCAACTTTAGAAAGGCAATCGGAGGGCAGTACTGTCTGTAAGAAGAGCATCATCTCTGATGGTCTTCCCCCAAATAGATGTCCCGCTCCCGCCCACAAAAACTCGGAAAGAATAAAAGTAAATCCAAATACTTAGTCTACTCTCCTGGACGGAAAAGATATACTTTAACATTGGGTATCCTCGTCCTTTTCCACTCACTAATTTCACTTCCGTTCAATAGCATTTGATTACATCCTAAGATCAGGCAGAGAAAGACAGTGCAAATGCACAAGTTACAACTCATTAGGAGCACAGTTGACAATAAAAAAAATTGATTTTTAATGACGACATTAAGAAAAATTGATATGAGATTATTATAAGATAACGAAGTCTACAAAATACTCTCAGAAGCTATTATTGAACAGAACTTCCATCCTTACCTTCAGAGCCAGAGCACCTTCATCATCTAAAA